AATTTAAGGGAAATATGGAGATATTATCAGGCATCAGGCAATTAAATAAATTTCTGGGTGCCAAACAGTACACTGGAGAAATTCCTAAGCCAAACATGGGAGAAGTCAGGATAGGCTCCCCCAAAATACAGTTGTTTAATGTAAACAGAATAAATTAAAATTTTAACCTCTTTTTATTGATAATACACTACTCCAAAAAGAGGTTACAATATGTTTGGTTATTAAGAAACATATGCATAAAGCTGTCTTATAGTTCCAAATTGGGGGTATAAATTTTTTCCAATTCCTTAAATGTGCAATCTAGCATTTTTTTTTACATTTAAAAACATTTTACTATATTAGTGTGGAAACAATGATATTACCCACTTTCACCCTGTAGCCCTTGACCCCTTGTACCCTAATAAACTAAGATTATAAAAAAAAAATTTACTTTGTTTTATGATATATTTCCATAGAATCTGGGGTTGCCTGTGCCCTTCTCCCTACTCGCCCCATTGATTTGCTCTCTAGTTTTACAATGGATGTCCTTCATGAACAGTCACAAGTCCATCATGCTGTTATTGAAGTGTTTCCCAAAATGCAGGCATGGACACTGTCAGAGAGTCCCTCATCTTACTATTAGGATGTATTCAATTCTTTCATTAGGAGTCCATCTTCGGTGTGTATGCATAGAGACAAAATGGAATAGTATTAAGTAGTTCTTAAAAAGACACCATTAGTAGGAGAATTTGGCATGCATACAAAAGTGTGATTTTTTTTTAAAGAAATGTTAATCCTTCAAAGAATTGTTTGCTGCTTTCTTGAAAACCCCCATTTTGGAAAATGCAGTATTTAATCTGGTTACTTTATATGTTCAGGTAAAATTGGATTATAAAATAATAAATTTAACAAATTTATAAATAAAATATTAAATTTCATAATCTAATTGGCTTTTATTCATTAGAGGTTTTGACCTTTTGCATGAAATCAGAAGTCTCAGATTTTGCCCTAAAATCTGTGCTTCATGTTTGGAATTCAGTTTAAATGTTACTTTTAAAATGGAGTTCTAGGGCCCGGCGCGGTGGCGCAAGTGGTTAAGTCCTCGCCTTGCACGCCCAGGATCCCATATGGGCGCCGGTTCTAATCCCGGCAGCCCCGCTTCCCTTCCAGCTCCCTGCCTGTGGCCTGGGAAAGCAGTCGAGGACGGCCCAAAGCTTTGGGACCCTGCACCCGCGTGGGAGACCCGGAAGAGGCTCCTGGCTTTGGATCGGCATAGCATCGGCCATTGTGCTCACTTGGGGAGTGAATCATTGGACGGATATCTTCCTCTCTGTCTCTCCTCTCTGTATATCCGCCTTTCTAATAAAAATAAATCTTTAAAAAAAAAAAATGGAGTTCTAAAAAGAAATGTAAATATGACAGAAAACTTTAAAGAAGATTCATCATATGCAAGAGAATTATCAGATATTCTTTTATATTTATTTATAAAATATGTAGTTTATAATATTTAAAATATAATTGATATTGGTGGTCACAGTTCATTTATCAGTTAGTCATATATCACATATAATAATAAAATAATAAATAAATATTGGAATTCTGAATAGTGTGGGCTGAAAATCATCTTTCCTTATTATTTTTTAAAATATTTTTATTACATGGAAATATGATACAGATCATGAGAGCCAAATTAAGTGGAGTTATACATCTTAATGTCAAATTTTAACTGAATCAACTTTTATAAAATTGGCAGATATATTTAAAGGACTCTTATGAAAAATCATATGAAGGAGCTCAAGAAAAAATTCATGAAAAATTCAGATTATGTAAAAAATGTCTGCGTATTTAAAAATATTTTTGCATCAATTAAATTGTCTTTCAACTTCATTTTCTATGAACTTTTGAAGTAACCTCTTATTTGTTACTAGTTTAAGAAGCAACCAGTAATGGGACAGATGTCATTTTTCTTTCTTCTATTTGTAGTTTGTAATTTTTGCATACCAAATTTCCAACATAATTCTACTTTTAAAAATCCAAAAAATGCACATATGAGTTATCAAAGAGCCTGAAATTATATACTAAACTCAAATATACTCCACAGAAATGAAAACTAGACATAAGGAAGTGTACAACTTGCCAATGAAACAGTACCGAACAATAGAAAGTGGAGAAGTGGCCTTTGAACTTGAATTAAAGCAAATACAAATAACCAGATTTGAAGACCATGGAGGAAGAAAGCCAACATAATGAAAAATTTAGTGATTTGTTGAGATTGTCAAATGAAACAGCACTTATATTTTCCAAAAACAGTCAATAATAATAGGCAGTGGGGTGAAATGTGTTGAGGATTTATTTTATAATCAGAAGAGCATTTATTGGCAAGGCATTTATTAGCTGATTGCTGTCGGGTAGCGAGCTAATCCTCTGCTCATATGCAAGCATCCCCTGAGTGCCTGTTCTAGTCCCAGCTGCTCCATTTCCGATCATACTCTCTGCTCATAACCTGGGAAAGTAGCTGCAATACAGGGGTAGTTATTGATGTAACCAATAGTGAGGTGTCAATATTATTTTATTCATTTTATTTATGTTAGGAGCAAAATTAGGTTCAATAGCAATATTTAAAGAAAGGTTGACAACAAATGACAAGAGAACATAGTTTCTCCCAATTCACTACCAAATAATTCAGAAAAGGAAAATAACAATGAAACTGAGATAATATGTAAAATTCAATTCAGTGAATCTGAATCAGGTGCTTATAGAAGTTACACAATACTTACACAATTTGGGGGATTTTGCTAAATTTAAATAATATTATAACTGTAAGGATAAAGAAACTGGGATTCCAATATACATTATGTCTTTATTATAGCAGTCCCACCAAGGGATAATTAGAACCAGATTTATTGAATGGTAATAAATAGCTACGTTATATTTCTGTGAATTTAGGGTAAAATGGTAACTTGATTTTCACCATTATTAATAGATGAACACAGTAGTTATGCATTTTATTGTGATTTTTAAAGAATTTTTGCTGTCTTTCCCAATAATCTATGTATTTAAACTTGCTATGAAAGAGTTACAGCACAAGTACCCTTCTGTATTATATACAATAAGCGCAAACAGGGTCCAGCACAGTAGCGCTGTGGCTGAAGTCCTCACCTGGCATGCACAGTGATTCCGTATGGTCACTGGTTTGTATCCTGGCTGCTGCACTTCCCATCCAGCTCCCTTCCTGTGGCCCAGGAAAGCAGTAGAGAGTGGCCCAAGGCCTTGGGACCCTGGACCCATGTGGGAAACCCTTAAGAAGCTCCTGGATCCTGGCTTCGAATTGGTTCTGGCCTTTGCTGCCACCTGGTGAATGAACCATTACAGGGAAAAACTTCCAATACGACTTTCCAATAAAAAAAAATAAATGAGAGAGAGAGAGAGCAAAGGGAACTCTAAACATAAAATTTGGGCTTTTATAAACAGAAAAGGAAGAAATATACTGTCTAACATTTGTGGCACCAATCGTTCAGAATCCATTATCTATCTCATGTTAGATCTCAGTCAAGTGAACTGACACAGTAGATTTTACTAATCAGAAGTCATAGTTTCACATGCCGATTGGACTGTCCATCACTGGCTTACTATTCCTTGGAGCCAGTCCACTTTCACATCATAGCTTTATAAGACAAGCTAGATTCAAATGCTGCCTGCTATACCCTGAACTCAGCCTGCATATGAGTTTAGCGGGCTGTGGTCAGGTGTTACAAAAACCAATTTATTATTTAATTCTGGCTTCCTTCCATAGGAATCAGAATTGACTGAGTGTTATTGACTGAGCATCTCATATTTTCACTGAGTCGTACTAATATATTAATGTGAATCATGGGAAATTGTGGCCTTATTTCCCAATGAATTTTGAGAAGACTGGGGAGGCATGTAGAGCAGAGGGATCTGAACCAAGAAAACACCTGTGACTCTCTCGCATGCATGGACAGTAATACTGAAATAAATGTGCCGTGGCATAGTCGGTAAAGCCAACCCCTGCAGTAAAGGCTTCTCCTCTGGGTGCCAGTTGAACTTGTGGTTGCTTCAGTTCTGATGCAGATTTCTTCCAAAGCCCCTGGGAGAACAGCAGAAGTCCCTGCACCTGCAAAAATCTCCAGGCTCCTGGTTTTAGAACAGCTAGTCTAGCTGCGCCCATTGCTTGGGAGTGAACCAGAAAACAGAATATTGAAGATTATCTCTCTCTCTTTTCCTGCAACTCTAACTTTCAAATAAATAAATAAATCTTATCAAAAGACTAAAATAAAAGCCTGTCACAAACTCACATAAATTGAAAGCAAACAAAATATGCAATATAATCATGAGTCTAGGAGTTCTGAGCCAACTGTACTTAATTCTAATCACTGTATATTAAGTATACATCTAGCTTTAATCTCCCATGCTTTTTCTATAAAATATACCTCATAACATTATTTTAATGGCCTAACAAGTTCACTTACTACATTCAGCCATGAATATAGAGTAACTAGCATCTGTTATCATTAGGGAATGAGTGAGTTACATAATTATATAATCCATATTTCCATAAATCTGTGTTTATGGCAACATCAATGATCAACCCCAACATCCAGTAACCATGTTTATCAGATCTATTTTTACATTAGCTCTTCTCTCGGGTACTATAGTTTAAGACCAGGATCCAATGTACAGAATTAGACAACTGAAACAAAGGTAGAATATAAAGAAGGACACTAAAGGCAGTGTTGGAGAGATTTTCATTAAAGAAAAATCACATAAAAGGGCACATGCTTCTTTCTTCCTTAAACATGAAATCAACTTTCTTTGTGCAGAGGCAGCCTGGTGTCTAGTTGAAGTACTCTGATGAAGCAACAAGGCCACCTCATCTAATACACTAACGAGTGACTAATCATGAAAACTTGGGGTAATAATTTTATTAACCTACACAGTTCCTCTGAGAGTGAAATGAACTACACATGACAAGAATTACAAAGATTATGTGACCATGTTCACTTTGAAAGTTTTCCTTTATTACTATTTGAAAAACATGAAAACACCTAAAGATGCCAATCACTGTTGATTCCTACTTGGGGTAGCTGAGAAGTAAAATGCTATACCTTATAAACTGCTAAGTGCAAGGCTGTAAATCCATTTCTTGTCAGTCGAGATGGGCGGAGTCCTTTTAACATAAGAGTTCGAATATGTGACTTGTTGCCTTTGAAAGAAAAATTTCGGAATGCTAAATCATGTCAGACAGGTAAATAGCTTTCACATTTTTCTGCGACTTAACAATACATTCCATATTTACAATAACAAAATATCAGGCTGCTGTTCACAGACTGCTTGTGGCATACTCTACTTACTTACAGTGAAACTTAACAGAGAACATTTCTATTGCACCTTAAAAATTTTATATTATCGCAATATATTTTGAAGCATTCATCTTACAATTTTTAGGTTAGTGCTGTTATCCCCGGCGCAGTTTCAAACATAAAAACATGAAATAAATCCTTTACCACACTACCAGTTGTAGCAGATTCTTCAAAATGTGCAGCCCTTATGTAGAGCAAACCAATACAAACGCTATGACAAAGGTTGGGAAGACTTGTTCAAGTTTGAACAGAAAATCTATTAATTAGAGTTTGTTTAGTTTGTTTGGAAGCAGCAGTGAAAGCCTATGTTTAGGATACTTGTAAATTAATGTTCTGTCAAGAAAATTGATTCCAATATATTTAGTTTGCACTAAGAAAATAAAAATTAAGTTGATATTTGCTAAGTTAGTAAATCACGGAGTGGCTCCTAACAACTAGACATTTTAGTAGATGCTTGGAACACATTTATACAAGGAAAAATAAAATATCAGGCAAAATTAACTCTAAAGCTTCACTTGGTTAGATTTTATCTTTGGCATTTATGACTATACAGACACTTGCTGTGTATTATGAGTAATTGTGATATCTGTAATTTTTATAACAATTTGTAATTTTTGCAAAATGAAGCAATATGAAGTAATATTTGTAATATGAAGTAATTGCTTGAAGATATCTGGGGGGTAACGTAAGTGCTTTTGAACTTAACTTAATTTCTGATTAATATGTCCAGTACTGAAAAGAACAAATGTGTTCTGGTTTTCAAGCAAACAAGTAACCAGGTTTAGGGCAAAGACCCATCAATGGAAATATTTGCCTTGTAGTTATTGCCTCAATTGAAGATTGGAGCAAAGGCAAAGAAAATAGTTTAGCAATAGAATTTTCTTGTTGGTTATTATATAGAACAAATAAGTGATCATATATATACATACATTCATATTGTTAGTTATTTAAAAGAATTGAAGAGTTCTAGTGCTAGGTTATAGGATATTAAGATACTTTACGCGCAGCTAATTCTCGCAACCTGGTTCTTTACCGTGAGCTGAAAACACCAGACGCAACGACATATCTTAGGAAGTTTATTCCAGCGGGGCAGGAATAGGGGAAGGGGAAGGAGGGGGAAGGGAGGTAAGAAGGAGGAGAGGGAGAGCAGGGGAGAGGAACCAAGGAGAGAGCAAGAGCAAGAGCAAGAGCAAGAGCAAGAGCAAGAGCAAGAGAGAGAGAGCAAGAGAGAGAGAGAGAACCGAGTGGGGCAGGAACAGGGGAAGGGGAGGGAAGGGAGGAAGAGCAGGGGAGAGGAACCAAGGAGAGGAAGAGAGCAAAAAGGGGCGAACCGCACCTGGGGGCCTTTTTTGTCTGCCAGGTGTGGGGGGGTGGGGATTGGGAGGGATTGAGGTCAAGGCCCCAGGGGATTGGTGCCTGCAGGTGAATGCCTGGGGATGATTGGTGAGTGGGCGGGGTTGGGGAAGGGGCTGGGAGATTGGGGGTGGGATTCTCAGGTGGAATGCCAGGTTACATCTGATTGGTGGATGGCTGGACTGGCGCAAATCCCGTGAGCTGCGAGGAAGAAATGGCGCAGGGTCCAGGGTGGGATATTGGAATAAATCCTTATATTCCTCCCTTTTGTTATATATAAAGGAAGAGGGGCATTGTTCTCTATGGCTTCTAGGAGCTGTTTTCTCTTGGCAGTGGTTGCAGCCTGGTGGGAGGAATGGGAGATGGACGAACGCTTCTAGTCCTGCAAAAGAAACTGGTTAATGGTTTGATTAGAAAAGAATTTTTACATTTCAGTGGATGGGAATGGAGGGAAGGGTTATTAAGAGTCCCTTTGAAAAGCTGGCTTGAGTTCATTTTCTCTTAGCCAGGCCTTGTTATACTGGATTCTTCATTACTCCTGAACGGTCAATGCAGACAAAGTAGCTTCACCAGGAACCAGAGACCCTGACTGCCTATCATACTATCTAACTCCTCACATTTCCAAACAGGAGTGAACAGGGATAACGGGACGACGACCGCTCTAGCTTCTTCGAGCTGAAAGGGGGCGTTGAGGAACTGTAGCAGTAGGGGGGTTCTAGAGGTTCCTGGTAGAAGGTAGAAGTCATCAGATGTCTGAAGTACTACTGCCTGGCACTTGAAGGCTTCTCTTTCTTGGTCTAGATAACAAAACATATTAGAATTATAATCTTTCCCAACTTAGCAGGTCATGAGTTCAGTTAGAAACCCAGTTGGAATACTTGGGCTTTCAAGCTTAGATATAAAAGAATTGTCAGGTTTCAACCTTTGTCAGAGGAAACATTACATTAGATTAAAACAATGGACTAGATTTATATTAGGTTTAACTTAACTATTTCACATCCCAAATTTTGAAACATACCCAATGAATGCAATGGAACACATGAAACCTTTTCGGTTGTATAAAATTGTTATCTGAAACAATGAAAGGATTAGTATGTGGCATCAGAACATACAGGTAAATGCAAGCCAACTTCCATTTGGAAATGCTATAGTAGTTTTGCATCTAGCTAGGGAATGGGCAAGTGTTCGATTTTTCTAAACAATTATACTTTACCAATCGTTGTAAGCCCTAAGAGTTTCAGGAAGACATCTAGCCTAGAACATAAAGCACAGCACTTAAAACATTCTGGTACAAGATCTACTGGTCACATTGTAGATGGCACAAGATTTAAACTATTTCGTTTACAATAACCCAGCAGTTTATAGTATTCCAACACGATTTTACAGAACTTTATACACTTTAAGGCAGAGGCAAGCAATCTACTAACTTACAGGTTAACAAGCATGTACTGGCAATTGAAGAACACAAGAATCTTAAGTAGATGAGCTGAGAAATCCAAAATAACTCGGCAAATAAGGAGGACATGAAGTCTACCTTATGACAGTTCAGGGATCCTACCTCAGTGAAGTCCAGTAAAACTGAAGAGCGAGATGGCAAGCATGTCTATCAGGAGCCTGGTCATTGATGCAGGCTGAACAGTTACAGGTTAACTAACTTTTCCCTCAAAATGGCTTCTTTTCTGAGCTTCTAGATTACTCTGTCACCTAAGCTAATTCGGGGCTCCTGAGAGACCCTGATGGTCACTGTAAGAGGGAAGAAGCCAAAGCTAGCTAGGATAGAGAAGGCAGTGTCCAGATGGAAACTTACAGTTTTCCCTTCCACTGTGAGAACCACCCGGGGCTCTTGGGTGCTGTTCCGTGGTGTCACCGAAGTCCGTGGATGGCCTTGAGCCTGTGCAGGTTCTTGGGCTGCTTCCTGTCCCATGTGGGAGATCCAATGGGAAATGACTGACCTGAAGTACTTGGCCTTCAGGGGCAGTCACATCTCCAGTGACCTCCTTGGTAGCTGGGACATGGCCCTGGGTGTCCTTTCTGATGATTCTTGGCGAAGTGTCCATTGCTTCTGCAACGAAGAGCACTTGGGAGGCCTCCGGGGGTCTCACTGGAACCAGGAGCACACACCTCTCTCATCCTGCTCTGCCATGGGATCCCCTCCTGGTCTTTAAGGTAAAAGACCATAGTGACCCCTTTAAGAGGATATCAGGGTATGTTCAGGTCCCATTTGTAAGTTTCTAAAGTTCTGTCCTAACGTCCAGGGTAGTTAAGAATCTAGCATCTATACAGCACCTATTCTTTTCTGTATAGGATCTAATGGAATATACTCAGTCATTCCTCAAGCATTCTAAGAAGTTGGAGGATTTCTCTGTGGCCCTAATCTCAAGGAATTATTTACAAAATGAAGAGATTTAACTTAGCAATTTTCATCTATGAACACTTTCATCTATGTTAATTAAATAGACTACATAGCTTGCCACATAAACATGTACATGCATATCAGTTAACACAGATTATAAAACAAAACAGCTTTCGTAACAGCCTTTGAAAAACAAGTTTAAAGTTTCAAAATGCTTTAAAGTTACCAGCTTAAAGTTACCAGTTATTTAGAATTATATCTTGCTTTTAGTAACCCAAATTAAAGATGCTTTCAGTTGGAACCTGTAGCTTACTGTTTAACTTTAGCTCTATCTGCAATGGATGCAATAGTATCTATTGGAACCTAGAAACAAACGTAAGCATCTATTTACTTCACATTACATTAAGTTACAGAACAAGTTGCATTTTTTCTTTTCCTTTTTTTTTAAAAAAGAAAGGCTAAATCACTTATCTCTTACTCCACCCCTCTCTGCTAAGGGGTGGGAGAGCTACAGAAATGTAGGCCCTTAGGGTGTTTGGATGTGGTCAAGACAAAAGAAACTGGGAGAGCAAGTTAGGCGAAGGGCTAAAACAGAAAAGTTTTAAACAGGAAATCTTTGCTTCCCAGTGGGGAGCAAATGGAGACCTTCAAACAGTGGGGGATGGCAGGGAGAGAAAAGGCAAGATGGCGGACAGAGAGGGTGGGGGTCGACTGCACATGGAGGATAAGATGGCGGTTGCACGTGGCACCAGGGCCCTGGAAGAGGGCACTGGGGTTTCCTACTTCATAGCTAGAAAACTACGGAAAAGACAGACAGAAAGCCGAGAGTGAAGAGGGAATGAGACTTCCCCCGATTTTTCCGAATGCATGCAGCAACGAGCTAGGTTCCGAAAGATGTCCGGATTCAAAATGCCATTAACTGGCCACTTGAAGGAGTTAGCTAGGGAATACTGGGGCCAATCCACATCACAGAGGCGTATTAAAGTATTAGGTAACAAGCCAATTCAAGGGTGTCTAAATTTGCTAGAAGGCAGCCCAAAGGGGAGTTGGGAGGAACTGGCAATGAAAAAATAGCTCCCATTATTACAACTCAGGACTGATTACCACGGTGGACCCAGTGGTCCATAAAAGCGACCCAGTGGTCAAGAAAAGACGGCTCTCGTAGAAGGTCGTCACCCCCTACGTAAGGGACGAGCCAGGTCCCCAAAACACCGCCTGTATCCGAAGTCGTAAACAGCCCAGTGGCCCGACTCGGAGGGACAGGGGGGCCCCAGAGTGACCCAGTGGTCGGGGGACTTCCGCCCAGTGGCTAAGAGACACGGCACCCGGCTGGGGTTTACCAAGGTGGACCCAGTGGTCCATAAAAGCGACCCAGTGGTCAGGAAAAGACGGCTCTCGTAGAAGGTCGTCACCCCCTACGTAAGGGACGAGCCAGGTCCCCAAAACACCGCCTGTATCCGAAGTCGTAAACAGCCCAGTGGCCCGACTCGGAGGGACAGGGGGGCCCCCAGAGTGACCCAGTGGTCGGGGGACTTACGCCCAGTGGCTAAGAGACACGGCACCCGGCTGGGGTTTACCAAGGTGGACCCAGTGGTCCGTAAAAACGACCCAGTGGTCAGGAAAAGACGGCTCTCGTAGAAGGTCGTCACCCCCTACGTAAGGGACGAGCCAGGTCCCCAAAACACCGCCTGTATCCGAAGTCGTAAACAGCCCAGTGGCCCGACTCGGAGGTACAGGGGGGCCCCCAGAGTGACCCAGTGGTCGGGGGACTTCCGCCCAGTGGCTAAGAGACACAGCACTCAGCCGGGGTTTACAGAACCGGTCTCCCAAAAACTCCCAGAAGTGGAAAGTCAGACCTATTCAGAGGAGCGCAAATATGCCAAGCCAAACCCAAAACTCCAAGGGCTGGGGGAGGGAACCCTACCTACAACAGTGTATGCATGCAACAACGTGGCATTCGGAAAGATGGGGAATACCTCGTGTGCTCCGCGTGGAGATGGAGTACTGGGGAGCACGCGTCTGGGCAATGGCGCTGCTGGATGGATGCAGATGCCAGCACGGTCAGTTAGATGAACTCAGGAACGGCCACGTGGAGGTAGAGAATTCTGGAACCGGCAGGCGAAATCAGGAACAGGCCGAAGAAGGCAAAATCAGGAACAGGCCGTTGGAGATGAATTCACGAACCAGCGGGTGGATGGAGACGGATTCTGATGGCTGCTGACGAGTCTCGGTGGCGCAGATGAAGACAGTTAACACAGATCACAGTTCTCACGGTTCGGGTCCCGGTAGTGGCCAAAGGCCCGAAGGCCACGTGGCCAAGTGCCGGGGGAAACCGACCGGTCACGGCACCAAATGTTAGTTATTTAAAAGAGTGTAAGAGTTCTAGTTTTAGGTAACAGGATATTAAGATACTTTACGTGCAGCTAATTCTCGCAACCTGGTTCTTTACCGTGAGCTGAAAACACCAGACGCAACGACATATCTTAGGAAGTTTATTCCAGCGGGGCAGGAATAGGGAAAGGGGAAGGAGGGGGAAGGGAGGTAAGAAGGAGGAGAGGGAGAGCAGGGGAGAGGAACCAAGGAGAGAGCAAGAGCAAGAGAGAGAGAGCAAGAGAGAGAGAGAGAACCGAGTGGGGCAGGAACAGGGGAAGGGGAGGGAAGGGAGGAAGAGCAGGGGAGAGGAACCAAGGAGAGGAAGAGAGCAAAAAGGGGCGAACCGCACCTGGGGGCCTTTTTTGTCTGCCAGGTGTGGGGGGGTGGGGATTGGGAGGGTTTGAGGTCAAGGCCCCAGGGGATTGGTGCCTGCAGGTGAATGCCTGGGGATGATTGGTGAGTGGGCGGGGTTGGGGAAGGGGCTGGGAGATTGGGGGTGGGATTCTCAGGTGGAATGCCAGGTTACATCTGATTGGTGGATGGCTGGACTGGCGCGAATCCCGTGAGCTGCGAGGAAGAAATGGCGCAGGGTCCAGGGTGGGATATTGGAATAAATCCTTATACATATATATACATACATTCATATATATACATACATTCATATATATGATCAGTTTAGAATGTATGTATATATATGATCAGTTTAGACATATCAAGTTTCAAGTACTCACCTCCACAAATGCAACATAAGTGAAGTAGAGAGAGCCCATTTTCAGTACGGTAATTTAAATTGACTTCACTGAAGGCTTCATCAGAGCTGAAAAGTATTTTTACAAATGATCACAAAATTCATCTTTCAGTATTTACTGTCTTTCATCTTAAAATTACAAAAGAACATTCTATTACTATAAATTCAAAAAATAGTTTTATGATTCCTTGTTGCTTTTGGAAAGAATTCTGGATCCACTGTACAAAGAATTAAAATTAATAGAAATAATGCTAAATATTTGAGAGATTGAGTTTAACGATTTGCATACTGAGTGCTGTGTTCCATGGTTAATTAGAACTATCCATGCTTTTGTGATGTATAAAACCCATGTGTAAGTATGAAACATAGACATCTGATAATAAATTCATTGTTCTCACTCAAAAATTTAAATAGTATCAATGGTGAAATTTTGGAATATCTTTCCAAAAAGAGGTATGAAAGAAAACAAGAAAGAAAGAGAAAAGGTTGTGCTGTGTTTGATAAAAGTTGAGGAAAGGAATATAATCCCAAAGTATTACAAGTTCTGCCTGAAGCAGTTTTCTTGTACTGTGGCTGGGTCAGATTTCACAGATAAAGCAGGGCTAAACTCTGGTAGGGTACTGTGATACAGTCCCAGGTGAGAAAGGGAGTGATTCCATTAATGAAATCCTTGCCTTACTCTGAACAAAGACTGTTGCCCCAGGAGGGCCCTGGGGAGCTTCAGGTAGCCTTTCAAAAGGAAAGGGAAGCGAAAATTCTCGACCTCTTAATGTCCTTGGTACTCCCAGGACTTTTTCACAGGATATGAGATCATATCCTTGGCCTCCCAGGTCAGTTTCAAGCTACCTCCTGCCCATTTAAATCTCCAGCAGCTTTAGTGAGATAGCTTAATCTTTGGTGACTGAGCTAAGGACTCTTATCATTTGTAAAGTACCTACACTAGAAAGTTCTAAATTCAGAATATTATCATCAAGACATCCAGTGAAACACATCAAAGGCTATTGAGATTTTAAAATAGAACAACAACAAAAAAAGTGTTATTGTCCAGGGTGCTGCTAAAAGGAAAGCCTCTAATATAGCAGCACAGACGGGCCTCAGTGAAACACCTTCATTAGCAATGGCAAACCTAGTGGTTTGTTTAAAGAGGCATGAGAATATTCCAGAATTTTACCACTTTCCTACTCTTCTTGCTTCTACATGTTTTGCAGCAAAGCCCACAGACATGTTTTTCATAATCAGGTTAACATCTCACCTGAATTTGGAAGACATTATGTAGAACTATGACAAACCCCAGGGATTTATAAATTATGATAATCTGATATAGCAGGATTTGGATTTCATAAAAATAGGTTTGAGTTTATTTCTTTTTTATCAGCACTTTCTCCTAGCTCAAAGAATAATGAAAAGGAATTTGTTATGAAAATGTCATTGCTTAAAAATGAGATTAAGTGCCTTCTTAACACCAAATTGAAAGCAGTACAGATTTTTTTAATTATAACATTACTCCTAAATTTATTTAAAATTCTTGAAGCCATACAGTATTAACCAGAAAGTGAAACACAGAATGTGATGGTTGAACAGAAAAAAAAAGTAAGTGTTCGAATGGAAGAGGAGAAGGAGGTCTTTATTGATGAAAGTATCTAAATAACTTGCAAACTAAAAGCAAAACAGTGAAAGGGTGTACTTTCTTTTGAGTAAATACTAATACATTTCTTAGTTTATGTAAGAAGAAAACAAGGAATCGCATTGTAACAATAAGCTCTTGAGACAACTTTTTGATAAATATACCTCTAATAATGATATATAGTAATATTTGCTATGTTGTAATGCTCCAAAGAAAGTCACTTCAGCAATGTGAGTTTTCCTCAAAACCTTGTAGTTACACCAGGATCCAAATCCTGCACCACTTGTGCTTTTATTTTTTCCCCCCAATGTGAGCAAGTTATTCAATGCCCTCAAAATTTCAGTTTCTTCAATATTAAGTGTGCGGTTTTGAGGAATAAATGAGGATACGAGCCTATTAGAGTAACTGTCATATGATACATAACCCATCGTTGATTTCTGTACTGTTCTATTACCAATAATGTCAATGCAAATGCACAATTTCTCTTTGAAGTATGAAAGAATATCAGCACAATTTTCAAACCAAGTGTGACCTACAAACTTTCACATTTGAAAATTCGTTAAACTTCCTTAAATTCAAAATCAGTTTTGTAGCTATTCCTCAAAGTGATCTGCCATCCTAATTTTAGGAAAGGATTTATCTCTACATGTTTTCAAAATGAGCATTGAGCTCTTAACTATGCAATAGGGATTCAGGAGAAATTACTGGACTCAAAGTGTTGGAGTTCAGGTTGAGTATTTTGTTGACAATTTCAAGCATTTTCAAGAGTAGAGATACTCAAAGAGTGGAAAACTGAAAGGGACATAACAGTTGAGAATCATTTTGCTTGAGAAGGTAGAGTCAATTGCTTTGTTATTTGCTGATCCATTCAGTAAACTGGGCAGGAGTCCTCTGACCATCTATAATGTGTCTTTTAATACATCTGTTTTTAATGCTTATTGCAGATTGTTTTCAATAGCCTCCTTGATACAAACTATTCATCAATTCTTGTGTTCTTTAATTATACTGGTCCTAGCAATATACATACCAGATAGATCCTGCAATTCACTGTGGTATTAGTCTTCATTTCTAATGACAATGCGTTTTGCAAAGCAAACATTGAATCAACAGAAAGTACTAGATGCCACAATCCGTTATTTTATTTTGTTAGCAAAAGAATAACGGTAAATGAATGTTTGCTGTTCACCTTAGCAAAATGAACAATAGCATTGGACTAGTGGTTTTTTACGCAACAATTATTCATTAGTTCATTGAATCTTGAGCCACAATTAATCATTTCAAAGTGACTCAGCATCGTGTCCAAATGTTGTTTACTTGAACCTGGGCTGCTGCTCCTTGCTTTTGTGCGTCTTTTGAATTATGCTCTACTCGAACTCATGAAACTTCTATTAATATCAACAAAATGAATCAACAGAGAATAGACTTCTTCAATACTTGGCAGTCAAGTGTGATTTTACTTGTACATTTTTAGCTTAACTTTAATAACTGGAATGTAAATTTTTTAATGAGAGTTACTTTGGGGGCTATCTTTGAATCCTAATTCTCATTTCCCATTAACTTCTAGTCAAATGTTTCTGTTTTGATGCGTGCAATTAAAATATTCAAGATTTTAAAGCAATCATTCCTAGGAGAGAAATTTCATTTTCTCTGCTTTTGCCTCTTTTAAAGTAACTGTATATGTCAAATTCATTGCCAATTGAACATCACTTATGTATTCTAATACTCTCAGCCTAATTTATTTTTTAATTTCCCTTGCATTTTTCATCACCTGCCAAGCCATACTGTAACCTAACATATCCTAATGAGTTCATAGTGCTTGCTGGGGCATGGATGAGGTTTCTAATTAAAATGAAACCACCATTATGAATACATTTCTAATAGTATATTCTGTCCTTAATCATTAAAAATGGTAGCTCTCTATGCAAAAGTTACTTTCGTTTTTGTGGTATAGCATAATGAACTCTTTTCTTAGCCTTTAACTTTTACCTAAGAAAAGTGTGCAGTTTTGCAATCCAATTAAATTTCTTCTCTTGACCTCATCCTTTCAGGAAGACATCTGACATAATCACAGGTAACATTTGAACTATTTGCCAAAGCAATAAATTTCTACCCAAAATAGTCATAGACAGGTACTTTAAAACATAATGTATTGGCTGAAATTTGGGGAAAGACCAAGAAGATTATAGTCTTTTTTGTTTCTGCTTTACTTCAAAAAATTTTAAATCTGTGAACAGCTTTTCAGAAAGTTCAAGGGGATAGCGAAGGAGAACGGAGAATGGAGACAATATAGGAAGACAGAGAAGGCAAAAGTGCAATATAAGAGGGCTAGTGAAATTTAGTCAGTGAAAGAAGAGAAATAACGAGAGACAAGCAGAGGAGAGGGAGGGAGAAAGGTGGGAGATAAAGGAAGTAACTGATGTTACGATACTTCACAAAAATTTTACAAAATATTCTTGCAAAATTATTACTCAAAGCTTGTTAACTTGGACAAATAAGAGAAACATTAGAGAACTATGGTTTTTTTTAAAGATTTTTTTTTTGTTTTATTTTTATTGGAAAGGCAGATATACAGAGAGGAGAGACAGAGAGCAAGATCTTCCGTCCGATGATTCACTCCCCAAGTGAGCGCAACAGCCAATGCTATGCTATGTTGCCTTAAAGCCAAACCTTAAAGCCTTTAACCTTTTCTTGGAGGTCTTACTGCAGCTGTTGATGCCTACTTTGCTGTTATTTTTGTAGTGTGGTGAGAATTTTTGTATATCTATTAATTCTAATCATTTTTTCAAAGTAATATGTCATCATTATTGACTAAGATACACCTACTCAGTGCTAAAAGAGATTTAGAATAAAATAAAGCAGATTGATTTTGGATTATGTTGTAAGTCATGGCATTAAAGATTATGATTTCAATGGAATCTCCTCATGGAGTTTCAAGTTTTTATTCCTAAGATTAAGGAAATAAAACTAACTTTGAAAATGAAACTAGCAGAACAAAAGTTCTAAAATTTCTTATGTAAAAATATATGAAACAATTAGAAGACTTCCAAGTCTCATGTGGACCATATTACTCAAATGTTTGTCAAGGATTATGGAATGGTTACATGAATCACTTGGGAGCGTGGAAAACAGTTCTAACAAAGTACGTGGCAGAACTGTGGAGTAAAATGAGGCAAATGAAAACTTTCCAAAGAAAATTCTAATTCATATGTGCCTCCCCTCTTGCAGTGTGAGGGTCTGGATCAAAAACATTATACATTCTGCAGTCAAAGAAAGATAAGCATAACTCCAGAGTAACCAGAGACAGCTTGTCACCTCATTCCATTAGACTCATTCTCTTCAAGAATATAATGTTAAATGTAATACTCTCCTCAGAAGATTATTATATGCAATAACAATCAGTTTTTGTTATTTTTGTTATGCTTTCATATTTTACCACATGCCAGAAACCGGGCTGAAGCACTTTAGTATTCCTAGCACAGAGCAAGCAATAATCTATGACATTCCTTTTGAATCCATACAAATTAGCATTGAAAAATAAATAGAAGTATATTAAAACAACAAAAAAGATTGCTTTTTGATACTGGCATTGTGATGTGGTGGGTTAAGCTGCTACTTGCAAACTTGGCATTTCATCCTGGAATGTTGGTTTTTATACCACCTGCTCTGCACCTGGATCCAGCTTCTCTGTTAGGAAAGGCAAAGGCTGATGGCCCCATTGTTTGAGTATCTATCAACCACATGGGATATCAGGATGTAGTTCCAGACTCCCAGGATTTGGTCTTGCCCAGACCTGGCTATTTGTCATGTGGGGAGTAATCCAGAATATGGAGGGGCTCTCTCCCTTCAGCAACTGTCAGCCCTTTGTGTGTCTCTCTCCTCTCTCTTTCTCTCTTTTTCTCCCTCTCTCTTTCTCCTGTCTCCATCACTCTGCTTTTTACATTTTTAAATACCTTTAAAAAAAAAAGAAGCTCCATTGACTAGAGGAAAGACAAACATGTAGAAAGATGAAGATAACACAATATAGGAAGTGCTGTTATACGGATATATATAACATGCAGATGTAGCAGAAAGGAGAAGATAATCCCCAAAGTGGGATTTTAATGCATTATCCCTGGCTTTCCTCATGCCTTCTATTCCCCTTCATCCCTCCCTTTCTCCCTCCCACTGCTGGAGTGGGGGCTGCGTTCTGGTCTGAATATGGCTCCTTTCTGCTCTATCTGCATATCACTTATATCCACGTAACAGCACTTTCTACATCTTTGTCTTTCCTCTGGCAAATGGAGAGCATAACCAGGTGCACATGGAGGATATGGCAGTCTGTTGGAACCTGCAGAGGATGCCTGGCATCACAACAGAGGACAGAACAAATCGATCAACTACCCCAGCCATATGTTGGCAGTGAAAAACTGGGCAAACGGAGACTCTAAGGTGGACTATGTCAATCAGTGGATTCTGCAGTGACCTCATCATGCTTGGAATGGCAAGATTAGCAGCAATTCATAACTGTTGAACTATCAAAACCACTTGAGCAAGAACCTCGGGGATCTGGGATGGGTGGGAGTCTGGGTGGGGCTTCTCCCTTTATCTCCTGCTTTACCCCAGATACAAGAAAAAAACAATGTGGAAATAATAGACTTACCTACTTTCGTATAACTCTTGAACCTTTGTGCCCCAATAAACTATGTGAAGATTGTCAAAATAAAGAAAAAAAAACAGGGAAAAAAATCTCAAAGTTAGGAGTAAACACAACTTGACAGTAGAATATTAAGGTATATTCTATTTCCTTTTCTCTCCTTCTCAACTACTCACTATAAAGCTGCTATATATTTACATAAGCAGAACATAGCTTGGTTTTTATCTGAAAGAAGATTGGCACTATATTGTTGTTTATTATGCCATATATAAAATTTATGCCAGGAAGTTTATATATTTGTGCTGGCAGAGCATGTGTGCGTTATGTGTCGGAAAAATCTCTTCTAATAAACTAAATTAGCATCTGCAAGGGATGCTATAAAGGAATTTCTCAGTTGATGCAAATGTAAAAGCAGTTAACATTTGTATTTACACTGGTGATCCTCCATTTCTAACTGTGGAGTTAATGGACTTTGTACATGGTTTACTTGCTAGCTTCCTGCTAAGAGAAAGGCTGGTTACAGGTAGTGTAACATAGTTGTCCATCATAGAAGCACTGTTTACATTATACAAAACACGGATTAAGTATGAGAAATAAAGTGATTCCACATCTATTTTAGAACTAAAAATTCCCTTGATATCCAAATGTGGTTTTATATAAAATGATTTTTTATCTTCCCAAGCATTCTTCAATTTTTTTGGACAAGACAGTGAGTAAGAAATTTATATTCTCAACATACTATATCATACCTTATCATCTTTTGCTTTATTTGAAAGAAAATAAAATTTTCAGAATTCTGCCCTAGAAACACTTGACTTTCCTCCAGCTAGTGCTCTGCCCTGATGGAGTCAGGCAAAGCTGCCTGCTCTCCCTGGTGCTCTCTTGGCTCTCTGCAGATCAGAGCAGTTGCTCTTCTGTTCTCACACCTCTCATCCCTTCAATAACATCTCAGGCAGAGAGCTCTCAGTGCAATTTGGGTATCTTTCCAGAAGTGTAGTTTTCAAACTTCAGCTGAAGTATCATTTTTATTATGTGTAAGTACTACCTGGGGAAGTTGTTACCAATTCTTGTTTCTGGAAATCCTCAGGGAATCTGATTCATTTAATATGGGGTGGAGCCATGGATTCTGAAAATTTAGCAATACTGCAGGCTACCTGAACACAGAAAATATTAACCTTTGAAGGAACCAGGGTCCAGACTTTGGCAATCCTCACCTCAGCTTCATATTGATCACTTTTTCCTTCTAGGACATTTTTGTGGCTTCCTTAGTGGCTTCATTCAGCAGAAGGCTTCCTATTCCACAAAGTCACAGGAAATTTGACAACCATTTTGATGAATCTCTAATGCTCCAACTTCAAAGTTCCTTTAATCAATTTCAATCACAATATCTAAAAAGCTGTACTTGTATTTCAGATTTTGATAGCAAACTGAATCCCAACATTCTGTATTTTTAAAACATTCTGTATTTTCTCTGTAGAAAAACATTTTAGCTTTCTCATTTGCTAACTTTCGACAAATCACTGTAAGTAGTACTCCATAAAAATGTCTTCTGCCTTCTGTGCTGTCTCTCTTGATCCAACTAATCATGATTATGGAAACCTCAAATTATTCAATACCTAATATGCATTGGCTCTTTATTCAGCATTAAATTAATATCATTTTGCAAATATCTGCTGTGGCAGTTTGCAATTTAGACAACATGGTCATTGCTTTTCCTTGCTTTCCTGTAAGTTTCCATGGTACTCATCTGTTCTTGCATTCACTTTCCTGCCTTTTATCTAGAAGAGTTTTCAAAAATAGATGAATTGGTTAAGTATCATATGGTTCTCATGCAGCCTTTTCAAGCTTTTGCAAGACGGATCTAGTATCTTGCGGCTCACTTAGTGAATCATCGGATGGAAGATCTGTCTCTCCTCTCTAGATGAATAAATGCACGGGATAATCCCTCTTCACCTGAAAACTATTGTTCTTTTCTTTCTGCCTAGCAGCTCTATCTACATCATCTGTACTCTGAATTCAGCTTTGCATATGCTACTCTTCCCAAAAACCATATTGTGAACTCCTGAATCAAGATGCACAATATATTAGGGAGAGGTCAAGGAAGTCAGATTTTCCTACAGATCACATTTCAGCTTTTCATGATGGCATAGTTCTGACAAGTCATATTGACTTGTCTTTAATCTCTAGTCTAACATCCACTAATATTATTAGCCACCACACTTGACAATGAGAAAGATTAAATACTGTTTTATATTTGATATATCCAGAAAAACTCCTTAATATGGATGGTACTCAGCAAATTTTGGCAAGTACTCTGTCTGACACTAATCTCTGCCCATCATTCCTAGTACTAATTAGCAAAAATGCCTCGTTCATTACATACAATGGAAATGTAGGAAAAACAGATTATAGTAGGAGCTGTCAAAAAAACTGGGAGTTTTTGATGTGAAATAGGGAAAAAACATATCTCAGGTGAATCATTCTGTTTTGACATATATTCACAATTCTCACTAAATTAAAATATAATAACAAATATATGAATCACTGACTATAAAACTGAAGAAAATCTTCAATGTAATTTCATTTCTCTCAGCCTATAAAAAACCTTTGGGGTTTATGATTAAACTTTATGTTTGTGTCTCTTTTTCAACAAAATAAATATAGTTGCAGAAATCTCACTTATGAAAATATAATTCACATATATTTCCTCAGGAATTTCAAATGTTTTCATACATATGAGTATAATACCATTTCCTGAAGTCAGAAGCATCTCATCAAGACAGTCTCTTCAGTTCTTGCATTTTGGGCCTTACAATAGAAAGAAACAACTATTTGTTTTTTAAACATTGTTGAATAATCATAAAGACTGTATTAATGGATTTAATGTAAGTTAAATTATACATTTAATTTAGCTATGCAAAATTTATGTGCTTACTCTGTCTGAAATTTTATAAACTATGTAATGTAGTCATTGATTTAAATTTCTTTCTCAAGTAAAATGCAGTTTATCACATGAGTCAAAACATTAAAGGTAAACTTGGCTAATTGGCGTACATGAAATTTTGTTTCAGTCAGGCACGAAATCCTGCTAGTTTCTCAATGTTATATTGAATTCCTCCAAAAAATTGTGCCCCCTGTTTTCTGAGCATTATGTGTCTTTTAAGGTTGTGACTTTGTCCCAGATTGTTTATCTCTTGTCATCATGGAACAAAATCATATCAAGCCTGAAGCAAATCCCAAATGGTGTTATTTTATTGTTGAGAAGGTAGAATGACCTCTATTAAGAGATAGTCATTTAACATTAAGAGACCAAAGGTTTGTCAAAATTGGGCTTACTCTACTAGTTGTAAAAGAATGGTGTGCTCAATGTGTTACTATGGACTAGGGAGAGAGTCTTGCTCTTTGTTGTTGGCCTGGCTTATAAGAATGATCTAACCAAACAAAAGATGTTTTACATCAGCAATAACCTGCAATAAAGGGCTAGCACTTATGTTTCTTTCTTTGTAAACTTCTTTGAGGAAAACTCAAGTTGCTTATGAAAAAAGTGAGATACTTGCATTGTGACAGCTATCTGAGTAGTCAAGTGATAATCTGACATTTTAAGATTTAAAACAGGCCTGTATCTGTATTGATATGGATTTATTTTGATCATTATATGTCTAGCAACCACAGGACCAAAACACTTATATATTTTGAAAAAATAACTTAGACAACTTACCTAAATATATGCCTTAGTTCTGCAAGCTCATTTTCCTTGATTTGCAAGTCTTCTTCTAATCTTTCCATTATGATAACATAAGATTCACTGACTTTCTTCTTCCATTCATCTAATAAGGAAAAATTAATGGAAATTAATTATAGCTGTGTTTTGTGACATGTATATACAGATTACAACATACGAGTAATTAGATGTCCATTTTCTATTCTGTATTTTGCCATTATTCTACAATACTTAAATTACTGATGGTGGGTTAAATTGCAGATGCTTACATTTGAAATATAATCATATTTAATCATAGTATCTAAGAACCCATTTGGCATTGGATAATATATTTACATAAAACAATATTTTTGATTTATTTAATTTGATTTTTTGCATTTTAAGCACAATAATTCCTGGTTGTTAGAGTTTTTGAGTACTAGATATTTAACATACAATCCAAAATCTCAGTATTTACTTGTAAGGAGAAATATTCTATAATATTATGTAAAGAAACTGAAATAGTATTTTATGAGAAATATTAGACATTCTGTAAAACATTGGTCAGAAAGACAGCACCCTGGGTTTTCATTGTCTTTGTAACACTGTCACTCTTATCCTCTGTATACAGGTTAACACATGTTCTAATAGTTTATAAATAACCTGAGACTATAATTTCATCATGTTACATTTAAAGAAGTAAGGGTAATTACCAGTACAAGTTTGAGTTGGTCTTGATTTATAATTTCCCATTTGCAGTAGTTGCTTCTTTTCTACAGTGCAGTTCTTCAACTTACTAAATTCCAAGTTCAAGTGCAGTGACAGTCCGGTTGAGAAATATGTTGATTGTCTGGCTAAAAATAAACCAACTGCCAAATGGAATGTCATGCAAGAATGACAAAGAACAAAATGCTGCATGCTTTCAAGTGTGAAACCATAAAGGGAATTAATTAGTCTGTTTAAAAGAGCTGTATCAAAAATAAATAGCCAATGCTTCAGTAGAATTATTTGCTTCCACCAATTGATTATCTACTCATACATACCTTTATGGGCCATTTAATTCACAGATAAAGCTAGAATGCTGTTCAGGTACATCTGAGATTCAAAAAGAGCTATTAGAACTACCTAGATAATTTTTTCAGGGTCATTTTCTTCTTAATCATAATAAAGGAAGCGGGCAAACAGTGATTAGTCAATACAATTGCCAATATATATAAAAAATGGAAATTCATTTCTATCAGATAATCAACCGAAATGACTGAAAATTTGCCTATGAAAAAGCTGTGAAAGTTTGTTTGTAGAAAAGACTTCTCAGCATAGACTCATAATATTTGTTTGTTTGAAAAGGGAGAACTATCCCTCACTCTCCAAATAGGATATTAAGTCAGGATAGACTTAATAAGTATTCTCTTTTTAACTAAACTTCATATTTTGCTGAATTCCTTACTCATTCATTAATACCACCATTTTTCAAGTGATTTATCATACCACTTCTATATACATACATATAGGTTCTCCTATTAATTCAATGACCCTGGTTACATTCCTGAATTCATTTTATTTTGAGTTTATATGGTTTATTTATCCTAATCTACACTTATGCATCTGCTATTTACATTTCATACTAATTTCTTCATAAATATTCAAAAATATGTTTCAAAGGAAAAATACATAAATGACCTTGATACCTCCTCTGCTTTCATATTTCCAAAACAGGAATTATAAAGAAAAGGTATAATGTGAAATAAAACCAGTGTACATATAACAAATCTTATTATATTTGGAAGTGTAACTTCATATATACTTAAAACTTAGAGCACTCTGTTGTTGTATGTGAGTTCTTATCAACATATCCTTATTTCTCCTATTTGAAGATGCTTGTTTTTGATGTATTGCATTTGTTGACAAATAATTGAGAAAAGTGTTGCTTTAAACATGAGAAAAAAGAACTAGAAATTTGGTTATATTTAGTTTTTAATGTATTCCCTTAACAGACATAAACAATGTTTATTGAAACAAAGCAATATAAAAGAGAAATTGAGCATTGTATATCATACCTACAATTATTGTTTATAAATTCATCTAAGTAATTCATTAAAGCAATATAAGCTAGTTTAAGCTAATGTATGTAACATTCTTTATTGTCAAGCAGTTTTCTTTCTTTTCCACTAAATACCTACATTTACCCTAAAATATCTACATTTACTATATGTTAGTTGAAATTATAAATCACCATCATGAATATGAACATTAATGGCATAATATTTAGATTATTTTCCAAAAATGAGTAAGACTTGAGAATACATCCTAATGAAAGTAAATGTCAAGAAAGGAATAGCAGTCACTTAAATAGGTGCTTCCAGTATCTCTATGAGAATACATTAAAAAAAGAGAAAATAATATTGCTGTTTTAATTTGTAGTACAATGTTGAATGCAAAGATCTTAATCTTAATTTGCTGTTGAGTGAGTGGGAAGTGAAGTTTGTTGAAGAATCTGAACAAACTAAAGACAATAACTGTTACTGGTTAAAATTGTCTTTCACGTACTAAAAGAGTGGAGAGAACAATTGGGGGGGGGGACACCAATGCCTGTTAAACTGTGTCATAAAATAACTAAAAAAACATTTAAAAAATGTCTTTCATGTAATCATTTGAACATTTTTAGTTATCAATTCTTCACTGATCAATTGATTCATCTATCAACTCAACCAGCATATAATACACCATATTCTCTAAAGAGCATATGGGAGTCAAGGATAAAAATTAAACAACTACTTAAAATACAGAATGTGTGTGATGACAGAAGCATACATTATTGACAATAAAATGTGCATCTATAAGCCAACATTTCAACCAAGAATTATTTCTTTGAAATATCAGAAAAATACTCATTTCCTGAATTAGGTTGCTCTTATTCTTCCTTGTTTCTTCATTCTTCTCCAGGAGTCAGTTGAGAAACAGAAAAACAAACAAAAAACTACATTGTGTTATAACTATGGGTTAATTAACAACTACTTTTCCATAAATATAATTCTGAAATTAATTCGTAAAACAAATAAAAATGGGATGTTGGGAGCAAAAACAATCTGTCCTACTTATAATGGATTAGTTCTTTTTATTTCCCAATTTTCTACCAGTGCCTGTTCATGAAGTGAGAGAAAAAAAAGCCTCCTTTTATGTAGATCAAATTATTTAAGGATTCAGATTGTGAGGTCACATAACATGTGGTTGTTAGGTAATCCATACCATGCAACTATTATGTAGCTAAATTAGATGGAGAGGTTTTGGTAGGAGTCCCCTTGATCCAATGATTATTTTCCTGTTGGTTAGTGCAGCTTCTGTGCTGTTGAAAATTATAAGCTGCTGGATCTGCTCAAGTAACCCTAAGACTGAGTAATCAGTTAAATTCATTAATTTTGGAGGAATTCCATGTTGGCTTATTTTTCAAATGTAAAGGCCAAAAGAACAGTGTCAAAGCATTGCATCTCTGAGTTTATGTGTGACCACTGAGTTAACTTACTGATTGTATACGACCACTTCTTGGCTTCCTCCCTCCCTGCAGAGACACCCTTTGTAAGCTGTTTGACCAACAATATTTATCATTACTTGTGTTGCAAGTTCTCTATTATAACTAGGAACAGCATAGTGCTCCTGGTTAGCACGCCCTGTTGTGTTGTTTCTGCTTCTCTACCAGCCTTTGTAACAGTGACAGAAGCAGTATCAGACTTTCATATATGTTCAAAGGTTCATGATCTCCTTTCTGTTTATATCTCAGAACACAATCAGATTCAACTTTTATTTGATTATATGCTACTTCCATTTCACATTTTAGCTGTACAAATTGACTGGTTTCATTCATGGCTGAAATTTTATACATTTAATTTTGACTGAATAAAAAATTACTGTTACTTAATATGACATTGTTGAGAATCAAAAAAACAAGTCACTCTATAATCCGGTAATAGATCAATGCACTTAGTTGAGTGATGGAACACAAAGTAGAAAGGTGTAACTTTGGTAGTGCTGCCTGGAATCCCAACTTCTTTTTGCAGAGACATGTCGCTAGAGCCAAACATTTAGGGAACTTGCTAAAGCAAGTAATGTTTTAGCACTTTCTTAATGCCAGGCATATTTTGGATAACAAATTTCCATGCCTCTATAGCACAAATATTATAATAGATGTATATCTTATTTTACTGGTTTACAATAACTTATTCTTTCTATGTAAAATTTGAGCTTAGAATCTAAGTATATAAAAAATTTGCACTTTCAATTAAAGTTTGGGAAAAAAAGGCACATGATTTTCTTACAACTTCACTCTTATCTAATTTAGATAATCAAGTATAAACTACAATTCTACAATTCCATATTCCAAGATGGCTCATTTTCATGAAAAATCAATTTTTGAAGTTGCCACTGCATTTGGAAAAAAGGCTAGCTTGTGCTTTCCCAATCTGGTAGTATGGAGAGTAATTGTCTCTGCTATTGTCTCCTGGAAAGTCATCTCCCTCAGTCAGGATTCATTTGAGATGCCACCCATTCTGAAGAGTCTTAATTAATGAACCATACTAGTTTGATCATCTCCTGGTTGTTCCCATTCTGTCTAGCATCCCACTTTTTCTCTTGATTCCATAATTGTGGTCACCTGAAATTCACCCTAATAGAGAAGAAAAGATATGAATTGATTAACTTAAGCTCAATGTAAAAATTTTAAACAGAAAATCATCATAAATTCTATAAAGAAGAAATTACATATCCAGAGCTGTTAGAAGTACCTATATCTGTTCTGTGGATCTTTTCTAATAGCAAAAAATGAAATGTTCATGACCATCCCTCCTGAGATCCAATGCAGGATCATTTCTAACTTGAATGTTTCTGATGCATAGGTGTATTACAGCATGGCATAACATATTTAAATTCCAAGTCTTGTGTCCAGTTATTTACTTAGGTTTGTAATAAACTATTATTTCCTATCTTCTTGGCAGAAGTTTCTATGTTGAGGTCTATGTCTCATTGCAAAAACTGTTGCATGAAATTATGTCACAGATTTCTCCCCTACTTGTGTGAATTCAGAGGGGAAATGATAGAGCCCTTTTAAAGGGACAGCAAGTTTTGCAAGTTGTGTGAGGCATATTAGAGCGAGAGAGAAATGCTGATTATCACATTGTGATTTTCCCTACTGCTATGCATGTCATCTTCCTTTTTTTTTTTTGATTGATTGATTTGAAAGGCCAAGTAACAGAGAGAGAGATGGAAGAACAGTGAGAGACATCTTCCACCTAATGGTTCACTAACCAAATGGCTGCAATGGCTACAGCTGCAGCAGTCTGAAGCCAGGAGCAGGGAGGTTCGTGTGGCTCTGCAACATGGGTGCATACCACCGAGGACTTTGGAGATCTTCTGAACTGGTGTCCCTATGGAATATGCCAATGCCACAGGAGGCAGCTTTGCTTACTACACCACAGATCCAGCCCCCACCATCTTTTTAAAACTCTCATACACCTTGAGTGTTGAAGATAATCCTATCTTGTTGCTATTTATTTAACATATTAACTAACCACAGTGGTTATCTATGCATCCTTCAAATACCACATTCCTTTCTATGAACTATTCCACATAATTTTCTTTTTCTGCAGATCTTGGATATGCACTGATTTGCCAAATTGTCTTGATTGATACAGCAAGGCTATCTTCTGTAATATTAGTAAGGATGATTACATGTGCTTGTGTATTTTAGATTTTGCAAGTATGTACTAAAAATTTTATAAACATATATTCTTATGTATATATTACTGACACATACATGCTATATAAATAAGATTTAATATACATATATACATATATATAAAGCATATCACATACACATAAAATT